ACTGCTTTCTAACCGAGTGAAATAAGTATGCAAAAATAATCAAACACGCCATCGGAGGAAATTAACGGTATTTCCATTCGCATCTCTTTGCCTCCCTCCCTAACCCTCTCTTATAATATGATGAGTAAACAAAACAAATTCCACTCAGTTTTTGAAGAAGCCGAAATTCATTCTTAAAAAAGAAAGTGATTGAAAAGTTGGTAAGATACTGATGTCGTTGGTTAACAAACTTTCATCGACACAACACTTTGCCAACCAGCATTTAGTCGAACTATTTTTGTCGACACACCGTTTTGTTGAAAGAACATTTGGTCGACAAAGCACTTCATCAATAAACTTAGATGAAACACAAATGATTATAACATAATCAACTTAATTTTATAGAAAAACATATTTTGTATAACATGAGGGCGTGGTCATGGGTGCATGCGGAGTTGAGGCGTGGGTGGGATGTGGGTAGATTTTTCATGCACACTCACACTCACACTCTCTCTTCTTTTCCACACTTGTCATTCTACTATGATTTCCCTAATTGCTCTTGTTCTGATTGCTTGCTTATATTTATTAGGTTTTAATTATACTAATAATTTTAAATGATGCAAATCAAAGATTTTTATTTGTTTCTAATATAAGCTATTTGAAAAGTGACAAATTGTAAAATATAAAAAATAAAAATTCGCGATCTATCAGATTTCACATTAATGTAGTAGTTATAATTAATTTTGATAATTGCGTAAAAAATTTTCCATTGAATCATCCATATTTTTCATCCATGGCTTGCAGACTTCTATAAGTTTCGTGTTTTCCGTACCATTGATAGATTCATAGGATACATCACGAAATTTAAGAACATCATCTAATTTATTTTTCAAGTATTTCTTTGCCAAATTTTTAGCTTTTTCGAAATCGAACTTCCATAAAGATTGATTATTATCATGTATGCATAATAAAGCAAGTAGACCACGCATATAATCAGTTTCACAATCGATCAAACCAAGGATATCGGTAGATAACATTGATTTTTCTCGTGCTTTCCACTCATTCACATCAGTGTGCATTTGATCTTTGTTGGGTAGCTTAACATGATCAAGAAAAACATCGCGTACAAGCGATGTTTGCATATCGAACATAGGAAATGAATATATGTATCTTGTAGCACCTAAATAGGCAAGATATGGTTGATCAATCCAAAAAATACTTCTATAAAGATTTGGTGGAACAAATTCAGTTACACCACAGTGTAATCGAAATCGCTTAGCCATGAATGGATAATAATGTCGATAGCCAGTACAAAAGATAATAGCATCGATGTTGTCAACATTTGAACCATTGTTGAAATGAGCTGTTCGTTCTTTCATACGAACAAGCATTGGTACATCTTTAATTTCATCTGGCCATTTCAAACCAACAGGTTCATGACGAGAACTGATTGTCACTGATCGAGCACCAAATTTGTAACACTGTAAAGCGATATCTTCTGCAGACTCACTACCGCCAATAATTAACAAATTAAGACCCGTAAATTCGTCCGCACCACGAAAGTCATGTGAATGAAGAACTCGACCCGGAAATTGATTTACTCCATCAATATTGGTCATGTTTGGCATATGATAATGTCCAATCGCAACAATAACACGATCAAACTTTATACATTCCATTGAACAAGTATTGAGATCTTCAACATCAACAGAAAATTCGTTATTTTTATCATCGAAATCAACATAACGAACAGCAGTATTAAAACGAATGAATCGTTGAAGATTGTTAACCTTAGCTCTACCAGTAAAATAATCATAGATAACAGCACGTGGTAAGAATGATGGAAGATGGCAACCAAAATGATCATAAAATGTATAATCAGGATATTCAATGACTTCTTTCGGAGTGTTTGCCCAAAGACTATGTATAAAAACAAATATTAAAATATCGAATTATAATAAATAAACTTCTTCTAATAAACTCTCGCATGTGTTTAAATTATATTATTCATCTTGAATGATAAAATACATTTTATCTAAAACTAATTATCATACTTACTGTCGATACATGCTTGAATGAATTGGTTCACCATAAGCATCTATGCCAATTTGAGATGAATAAAGCCATAACCCACCCCAATCTGATTGTCTTTCGAAACAAACAAGTTCAACTCGTTGTTCTTGTTCAGCTTGTTTAAATGCTAACAATTGTGAAAGACCACATGGACCAGCACCAATAATTGCAATGCGTAATTTACTCATTAAATTGATTTAAAAATGATATAGGTATATTAGTTTATACGGAAGGATATTCTAGAAATACTAATAGAAAGAAAGTTGATTCGTATTTATAATAATTTTCTTCTTCTTTGTTCGTAGAACAAGTTTCTAGGACATTTATGATACTTGGAAACATGCGCACATCACATGTTGGAATTCTCCAACATATCCTATTGGATTTTCCCAGTGTGTTATTATGTAATTTATATCAGATTATTCCGATATGTTCAGAGCTAGCTAGCTTCGTTCGTTCCTCATTTTTCTCTCTTGTGTTTCGTTTTCCTTCATCTATAATCAAGTGGTGTACGAATAAACATAACTGACAGACATCAATAAGTCACATTAAGATCTACATTCTTGTTGTCAAAAGAAATATAAAGTGTATATTGTATTAAGAAGAGAGTATAATCACATTAGGTGAGAGAAAAATGGTTGACATTTATTAAAGAAAAATAGTTCTATACAAAAGAAAATCACACGCTGTGACTTGTTGTTTTTTCTCCTTTTCCTATTCTATTTCGTTTTTACTGTCTCTATTTGAAGTACTTGCGAAGCCTTTCATATTCTCTCTCTTATTTGTCTTCTCTCTACCGTTTTTTCTTAATTATCTGCCACCATCTTTTTTGACTCTCTTGTATCAAAAGCAAAATCGCACAGATAATATTTGCGGGAAACGTATATCTCTATTTATCTAATCAGTTCTCAACCTAGCGTTTCATAGGTGTAATCCAAACATGTAAAAGTATCCACATCAATGCTCGCCTCAGAAACCTTTTCAACTTGCCTACTTGTTCACCTCCCAAAAAAAGTCCAATAATGCCACATCGTTGCCGAAATTCTTAAACAAGAAGCGTAACATCCACACGACTACCTAGGCAGATAAGTGACGAAAAAGTTGATGTTTTTACGCATAAAAAGCGAAGTATTGCAAGTTAATATTCTTTTACATTCTTTTCTTACAAAAAAAATTTTTAACGCGTTAAAGTATGAGCTTTCCCTGCGTAAAAATGTTAACTTTCTCGTTATCTGTCTGTTTGGGTCCCATAATCAGTGCATAGCCAACAAAAAAAGAAACGAAAGCTCGACCACAAAACTCAAACGTTCTGACAACATCCCTAGCCGAGTCGAAACGGAATATGGTAGCTACTAGTTCTTTGAACCACCACAGCCTCATCCTCTAGTCAACGGATTTCAGCTTTTCAAAAGAGTGTTCCTTCGAAAACTTTTATTGACTAAACTGGATAGTTTTCTATTCGGATTTTGCTGACCGATCGCTTCATCAAAGTATTCTAAAGCAAACTATTTTTCCAGCAGCTTCTTCAACTCTAACCACAGACAAAGTCGTGGTGTTCACAAGTCCTATCTGTACTAGGACGGAAGCTTGCTTCTAATAGATGTGATTCTTATAGAGAAGTATACAATGGCGAGTAATGGAATCTTTATAGAGTTGCCGGAAGGTGCGATACCAAGTAGCATTCAGTCAATTTCACGATCATGAGTAGAACAGAATAGCATTTCATCGACCACTCGATTGTTACCGACGATACGTGAGATTGAAATTGTTTTCGTGTCGATCAGATTGCTGTTAATAAGATGATGTTCATGGAAACGCCGTAACTCCTTAGCACCTACACCACCGGTCATAATTAGGATGTGATTGATCTATGGATCCGGTACCATAGTTGCTATAGTTGCAGTAACATCGCGGGTTTTGAATTCGTGTTCACAATATGTGTCTTCCAATGCTGAGAGATCGTATTGTGAGCCAAGTCTTTTATTGGCCAAGCTTGTATCGGTTTCCATCATAGCCATGAGCTTATTAGACGACTCTTGCACGTATTGCACTGTACTTTGCATGTTATCGTCTTTGTCTATGCCGATAATCTGAGAGTTCTCTGCAATTACAATCAATTCTCATTTTGATATAAATTTTGTGAGGTAACTTCCACAGTTGTTGACCCCATAAACAAATGAGCGAGTAAGCTTATTTTCTGACTGCGAAATTATCCGAAATACTAGCACTGGATTCTTTACAAGATAGGTCCAAAATGATTCCTGAATAATAAATTTCTTTCGTTACGACTAAGAATCAGTTTTCGATTACTCTCCTCCTGGTAGTAATTTCTGAACAACTTTAGCTCACTAAACATTCAACATACATGTGCTCTCGTAATAGTATAGATTGATTTACTGTTTAAAATTTACCTGTTTTCTAATGTCATTGTTGGTGGTATGTACGAGTGGAACAGGCTACTGTCGATATTCGTCTCATCATCGTCAACAACGAGCGAAGCTTCATACTTCGCTGCATAATTCGTTGATTCTTCAATTGAATTTATTAACTTATTTACTAATTTCAACGTGCCATCGTTCGCCCAAGTCTCCATCTAGGAATGGTAAAGACAAATGCTTTATTATTCGCCGTTATCTCTCACTTTGATCATATTCGCTGAGAGATAGCGCACTGTAAAAAAAAATTATCTGGTCAACAAGCGATGACGAAGCACATTTGAGGTTCTTATCTTTTTATGCCCTTGTTCGTTGTAATCTAACAGAGTATGCAAAAAATGAACGACGTTTTCGTAAACGTTGAAAGCAGCAATATGACAACATTTATCTCCATCTGTTCGACTGAAAACATAAAATTTTCGTTAATTCTGCGTGACTGAAATAGAGTTTGAGTGAAGTTCAATGATTCTGAGATTGTTTCGGAGAAACTATCCTAGTCCACGTACTGACCGTACGGTACTGGTTCCAATGCTACTCTACAGGAATGTCCAAAATACTGACACCTTTTCCGTCAGTATCTCATTACTGCAACCAGTAGTTTTCAACAAGTTCAGTATTGACAGCAGTATTGGATCTAGTATTAATCAGTACTATCGCACTTTTCTGTTAGCTTCTGTCAGTAGTGATACTAGTTTTCTCCAAACACTGATATCAATACTGATTAGGCATGCACCGAAATGCAAGAATAGTTAGCAAAAACAATATTGCTATTGCGAAGATCCTCGAGCTTTTATCAAACTGTTTTTTTACAAACTATCCAGCTCAGTCTAAAATTTTGATTCGTACAACCGAACAAAGCGATCCAAACGAAAATGCCAAGCCTTGGTTAGTTTCTGTCAAAACGTCAAAAAGAGAATTTTCAGACAAACATCGATTCAGTCTAGGCATTACTTCATGTGAGTTATGTTTCTCGGATTGCATGAATAGATCTTTGAGACGATGCTGAATAGGGTGTGGATGTGAATGCAGGTGTATTTCATTTCTTTTTCCATACCCACACACCCACACTCGCAACATAAAATATATCATTCTAATTTAGCTCAATGCTGATGTAAATAGCGGTGAAAAAATTTCAAATGCACAAAAAGGTGTGGGTGCAAAGCTGTAAAGTCTGCTGATCAACCATATTCTCATCCCGATCTTTCCCCTCCACATTAACATGCACACACACATTCACGTCAACACTCACAATCATGTCTCTTTTCAATCGAGTTGCACATTCAAGGTAACCGAACTCTTATCATCACGGTAAATATTGACTTCACTGCTGAATAGCGTTATTGATTCAGATTAGAATACCGTTCTCTTTTATATTAGAGACAGAATTCGATAGCTTCTTTTATATATCATATATCACGCAACTTCGTCGATGTGTAAGATATACAATGTTTTTTTGTTCGTTGTGTCCATGTTACAATCCGAAAATTCAATCAATCTGAGAAGAATACGTAACGAGTACTAAAAATGAATCACCACGTAACACAATTGTAATAGAACCAAAACTATCTTTGTCAACCGAGTCCGATACATAAAATATAATGCATTCCGTGTATCACACACGTATAAATTCACCAGATGACTCTTGTCCAATTAGTTTGAAAGGTCAATCCTTACTATAGCTAAATTGACGCGTGAATGAATGAGCAAGCAGTTTAAAGGGTCTACAGCAACTATGTTTAATAATTAAGCGTGTAGATGTAGGTGTAGGTAGGTTTCTGGTTGTAAAAGAAAGGAGCCTAACAAACATATCATCAGCAACGGCACACACACATCCACCCTTATCAACACACTTAGAACACGCAATGAAAAACACTTTTCCTTTCCTCCACTTGGTTCTTTATCTCGTATGTTTTAATTTACCTTACCTTTTTCGTCTTTTGATTGATATTCATTTGTAACTTTTTTCTTTATATTGTGTTTTGATTCATTTTTACAGATAGGCGAAGCGAATTGGCTTTGATTTTTACAGGACAATTTATTTTTATATAAGTGATTTGCAACTAAAGTTCGTTAATAACAACAGAAACTGCTGAGTTATTATTTGAAATACGATCTTCTTTACATTTGCATAGTTAGTATTTCATATCTAGTGCCACAAGTGTCTCAACATTGCAATAAAGATTTTACTTATAGGATATTTTTGAAAAAAGACGTTTGATTTCTCATCACCGCAAACTCAATGCGTAGTCCAATAGGTATTGATTTCGGTACACTTTATTCATGTGTTGCTGTATTTCAACATGGAAGAGTTCAAATCATTTCTAATGATCAAGGAAATCGTACGACATCATCTTATGTTGCATTCACTGACGAGGGAATTTTGATTGGTGATACAGCTAAAAATCAAGTGGGTAGAAATCCAACTAATACAATATTTAATGTTAAACGTCTTATTGGGCGTAAATATGATGACCCAATAATTCAGACTAATATGAGACATTGGCCATTTAAAATAATAAATGAAAATGGAAAACCCAAGCTTCAGATTGAATATAAAAAAAAAGTAAAAATATTTACTTTTGAAGAAATTTCTTCAATGATAATTACGAAAATGAAAGAAATAGCTGAAACTTATCTTGGTGAAAAAGTAACCGAAGCTGTTATAACCGTTCCCTCACATTTTAATTATTTTCAACGTCTAGCAATAGAAGATGCTGGTGTTCTTGCTGGTCTTAATGTTTTACGCATTGTCAATGCACCATCAGCAACTGCTATTGCTTATGCATTTGATAAAAAAGTATTAGCTTCACGAAATGTTCTAATTTTTGATTTGGGTGGTAGTACATGTGATGTATCAGTTTTAATAATTGAAGAAGGAATTCTAGACGTTAAATCAGCAGCTGGTAATGAGAAGCTTTGTTTTTATTTTTAACTTATTAAGACTAATTTAGGTGATGCACACTTGGGCGGTGAAGATTTTGACAATCGAATGGTTGCACATTTTAAACAAGAGTTTAAACGTAAACATGGTAAAGATCTACAGGGAAATGAACGTGCTGTTCGACGATTACGTACTGCATGTGAACTGACTAAAGTATAAGACTGTTTTTTTATTTGTATCTTTTTAAATCGAATTCTTCTCCATAGCATACATTATCATCAGCATCACAAGCAGGCATTGAACTAGATTCATTACATGAAGGCATCGATTTTTATTCAACTATAACTCGTGCACGTTTCGAAGAACTTAATGCTGACTTATTCCGTTCGACACTTGAATCTGTTGAAAAAGCTTTACGCGATGCAAAAATGGATAAAGCACAAATTAATGATATTGTTCTTGTTGGAGGTTCAACACGCATTCCAAAAGTGCAAAAACTTTTACAAGATTTCTTTAATGGTAAAGAAATAATTAAATCAATTAATCCAGATGAAGCTGTTGCATATGGTGCTGCAATTCAAGCTGCTGTATTAACAGGTGATAAATCTGAATATGTCAAAAATTTACTTTTACTTGATGTGGCATCGCTTTCATTAGTAAGTTCATTCAAAAAACAAAGATCAATAATTGACAAGTAAATTTCTTTTTAAAGGGCATCGAAACTGCTGGTGGTGTTATGACGGCCTTAATTAAACGTAATACAACGATTCCAGCAAAACAAACAGAAATATTTACAACCTGTTCGGACAATCAACCAGGTGTTTTAATTAAAGTTTATGAAGGCGAACGTACAATGACAAGAGATAATCATTTATTAGGAACGTTTGCATTAATGGGTATTTCACCAGCACCACGTGGCATACCGCAAATTGAAGTTACATTCGATATTGATGGAAATAGTATAATAAATGTTTCAGGTTTCGATAAAAGTTCTAGAAATGAAAATAAAATTACAATTACGAATACTACAGAATGTTTGCCAAAAGATGAACGTGAACTACCTTTAACGTGTTATGATGGAAAATATGAAGAAAGAAATGAAATCCCAGTTACAAATATTGCTGATAAGATTTCACTTAAATCCTATTGTTTAAATATAAAAAAAAGAATTAATGATAAAACATTAACAGATAAAATTAGTGGTTATGAGAAGAAGAAAATGCTCGATGCTATTGAAGATACATTGAAATGGTTGGAAACAAATCAAGTAAGAAATATTTGACTTTTCTTTCTTACAATTAGTCTCGCTGTTGTTTTAGGCTGCTGAAAAAGAACAGTTTGAACTTAAATTCAAAGAAATAAAAAAAATATATTCTCCAATCATGAAAAAACTGTATCCAGAAAAGGAGAGTGCCGAAAAAATGCCTCAAGGATTTGCCGGTGACAAAACAGGTATGATTGTGTTTTAAGCTTTTCATAATGATTCAGAATTTTTCTCGGAACATAGCAACGAAAGATATGTAGGTTTTTCTTCCTATAGCATTTTATTTTTTTCAAAGATATCTTCTCTACTTTTTGATTTTCTTACGAAAGGTTGAACCGGAAATTCTGTAGCTTTCATGGTAGAAAGATCTCAGCGAGTAGCAATAAAGTTCTCATAGACTCAGTAGTCTAAGTGTAATAATAAATGTCGCTCGGCGCCTGTTTAGGTTGACAAGGAACAGTGGAAAAGAGGTTGATGCCTGTTGTCTTCGATTCCTAGTGAAGGTTTAGTATACAATGACCTTTGATCATGGCTACTAATGTGAGCAAGGGAAAGGCTCAGCGGACAGCTAGGCTAACAAATCGATTTCTGAGATCTGCCTCAAAGCTGCTTTCGTTCGGTGTTTAACTACGTCTTGGATTCTGATTGCAAGAGGCCATTAAATTAAAGATCTAATTATGTTCATTAGATGTTATACAGTTATTAAGCATTACATGTCTACCATGTATGACAGATTTTTTTAGAGTTTCTGAAGTTTGTTTTTCTGCAACAAGTTGAAAGATCCACTTCCACTATACTGAAAAATAACGAACAAGAAATAATGCAATTCTTTTCTTGGATTTTACCGAGACTTCTATTTGAATTGTAATTTTCTTTATGAGGAATGTCATTATCAGCGTTATATATATGCCCACTCAAGTCTTTATTGAGATACGGCATCCCAAATATAATCTTCGATTTCGATTCCTTTCGGAGTGGCCTTTTTTTGATAAACACGTATCTTTTAATCTGATCACTTTTTCATTAGACAGTATAAGCTCAAATACAAGAATTTTTGAATATTTACATCTTTTTCTTGATTCTAAACATAACTATAGACACTTTCCAACTTTGCAGTTCTCATAAAAAAACCTTGATAACAAGCAAGAAAACCTCTCGAGGGGCAAAAGTTGTTTCTGTTTCTCTGATATTCAGTTTTTACTTAATTTTTCAACACAATCCTATAGACTCTCTGAGCTTCAATTGGAAAGTGACTTATTGATTTTCACTTGAAACTTTGCACAACTAATACTGTCAATGAAAATAATTCATTCTGAAGCTTTCAACTTCTTTCATTGCTTCTGCAATGAAATACAAAGACACAAGGACACGATTTACTTTTGCATATAGCTGAATATCCAATATGAGAATCTTTAAACGGACGCAGCAGAACAGGTTGAAACTTTTCATAATGAACTAGTTTCATTGAGAGTATCAGATGCACAAAGTTTCAAGTTCCATATCGAAGGTCACCTTTCAACGAGACCTGAGTCAGGCTACCGAGTTTTGCTGAAAAATCAGTAGAAAGTATATTGTATAGAAACTTGATGACTAAAAGCAGTTAGATAAGCACAGATAGTCAGTATCAAGTACGACACAGAATTGCAAGAAATACTAAGGAATTCGCTACAGCAATTTTAGAAACTGCTTCTGACTTTTTTACGTGCAGTGCGTATGATACGGGGAGAAGTCGAACAATCAACATTCAAATTTTTAGATACTAGTCCTTTTTACAATGCATGTCGAAATAATAATATTGACATGGTTAAAAAATATTTGCAAAAAATGTCATTAGAAGAAATTAATAAATTAGAACCGAATGGATCTACTGCACTCCATGTTGCTGCATATCGAGGACATGAAGAAATAGTTGAACTATTACTACAAAAAGGTGCTTCTTATACAACAATGAATAGATATGATTGTACTCCATTGGATGAAGCTAAAAGTGATAAAATAAAGCAGATGATACGTCGTCGTATGAATAAAACTCGTTTTATTAGTGAATCCATCGAATGGATTCTGCAGACAGATAAGGCAGATTTTCAAGCACATCAATATTGGAAAAAATTGGAAACATATGGGCGAGATCCACAATTTCATAAATTGATTGAGTATATAAAAAGAAACTATCTTGAAAAAGATTTAAAAAGTATTGAAGATATTGATACAGTTATAAAATATTTTAATATCGCGATCGACAAAAGAGATCCCGTTTATTTATTACAAGCCTACACAGCTGAAACTGGTTTCTATTCTACACTTAATATTCATCTAACTCAATTACATCTAGAAAATTTAACTGACAATAAAAATCTTAGTCAAGCATATTACATTGGAATAATTGCTCGACATCCGAAATTCGAAACATTTTCGTATACCGGAAAAGCATATCGTGGTATGATGATCACTAATAATGATTTAAAACAATACGAGATAGGTACACGAATATTAACTAAAACATTTTCATCTTCATCAAAACTATTGGATATAGCATTAGGATTTCTCGCTGGCAAGTGTCATACAGATGATCAATTAAGTACAATATGTACGTATGAAATACGTAATCAAAGAACTGCATTAGATATTCAAGATATATCATTATTTCAATATGAAGCAGAAGTTTTAATTTTACCTTATTCAGCATTTAAAATAATTGATATTCAAATAAATAAAGACAAATTACCTAACGTTGAAATAAGACTAAAAGAATGTGAACCATGGTAAATGTTCATAGTGGTTGAAACTGAGATTTTACGATGATTTATTTCTTTATTATAATATGATTAATAAAAGAATATAAAAATAAATGAAAAAAAAAATCAAGTTTGACAGAAATGACATAATTTAGTGTTGATTTAAGGTAGATTTATTATAGAAGGTGTCGATGTTGGATGTTAAACAAAAAGACCCACAGCCACACACTCACACCCTCAGTCGGCTCGCGTGTCTTCCAGATAGTTTCGACCACGGCTGAACGTTCACGATGCAATATTTTGTATTGCTAGAAGCAAAAAATAGATGACGTACACAGTAAAGAAACGCTAGCTCTTCTTGTTCACTCATTAGGTAGGTGTGGACCAAAGGTTCACACAGACCGCCTGCCTGTCGTGTTTTTTCTGAGTTTTTCATGAAAAACTTCATTTTTTGAGTAGAAAGTACAGATACCGAAATATAATATGGAGAATCTTTGCTCTGTAAGATAAGAAATGATTTTTTTTATCAATTTGACTCAACACAATCAGGGTGTGGGTGTGGGTAGGGGAGAAGAATAGCCTGAACATCACAGTCGCGCCCCACAACTGCATCCACATCCACATCCTCCTGTAGAGATGTATCTTTTGTGAAAATTCTGGTTTCGTAAAACTGTCCATTTGATTAGAAGAGCTGCCTAAAAAAGGATTTAGTGAAGAAAAATTCGGCTTTGAGTCTGTGATATCTTCAAAAACTTTTAGGTTATGGATATGAGTGAGACTGTAGGCATGGGCTTGATCATGATGAAGAAAGATGCACTGGAAGCCCCATGCACCAGCATCCATAAGATAGGAACAGCATTTTTTTTTTGAATGTGTGCAGCTGAATTCGTATAATGGTTTTTCTTTTGTCTGATTACAGTATTTCGTAATGAGCATAAAAAATATTTTGTTGACTAAATTAGTTTCCGACGAAACATGTTGACAAAAACCTTTGGACGAAAAGGCGTTACCGAAATCAATTCGACAGAATATACTGCTGTCAAAATCTCTGTCATCGAATGATATACAATTCGTTTCAATGTACTTGAAAACAAAAACAGCTCTGTTTTCGGTCGAATCGAAAGCATTCGCAACACAAACATATTCTCACTGTTTATTAATGAAAATATAGTATGGCTCCATACTTTGGTCGCGAGAACAAAGTATGTATTAACATTTTGGTTCAGATGCTTACTAAAAAGGCTGAATATAGGTGGAAAGAAAACAGAATAACTCTAACACATTGATAGTTGGAAACCTATGATTTTAGAATAGAAAGATAAAACAAGAAAATGCCAATAGGAATGGAAGTCGATTAGTTGAGTAGTGCTTAGTTATGGTCAGTTATCAATGAACATTATGAAGACGAACAGGAGAGTTCTTTATTTCGATGAATTTTAATAAAATGAATGATAATTTAGTGCTCTTTCCAGCAAAGGTAATTGTCTTTCATATATTCACTTGTTTGAGGATCATATACAAGTACACATTCCCAATTAATGTTTGGTCTGCCGCAAAAAGACCAGATGAGTTCGATGCGCGATTGAATGGGTATACATAAAGCATTATTGACCCAACCGTTAACACCTGGCTCTATCGTATATGTACATTTGTAATTCAGATTGCATCCATAGTCAAAATAGTCTGTGATCCATACCAACCCGATGTCTTTGTTCGTACATATGTAATTATCGTCCGACGACAACGCTAACGGCTCAAACATTTTAACACACCACCACCCATTTATATGTGATGAATGATTAAAACGAAAAACTAGTTGAGAAAACGATTTTTCTTTTATCGGAGTTCCAACCAGCTGAGCAACATGTTTATTTATGTTCGAGCGTTCCTCTGTAAAGTTTACGGATAATGATACAACAGACAACAACTGAGCTGAGGTTGTAAAAATTACTAATATGAGTAATCGTACCATTGTAGTCGTTTCTTTGGCAATCAAAATCGTATAGCATACATATTTAACTAGAAGACTATCGAATTCAGATGGGCGATCGATTCACCATAGAAAAAGAATAGGATTTGATTTAGTTGACCAATCAAATTGTAGTACTATGTATGATATTTGCCAGTTCTACTATTCGAAACTTGAATCGGTAAATTAGTTCAAGTATGCATGATTTTATTATAGTTGGTATTTTCAATGATAAATAAAACCTTTGGTATGATAATTGCTTATAGGCAATAATTTTCATAATTGGTTAAGTAGTATAAAAAACGAAAGTATCTTATGCAAATAAAGCCGACGCTAGTCGTGCCTAATCGTTTGTCGAATCTTTTGAAGAAAAAGAAATTCTATGTAATTTGCATGTCGATATTCATTTCAAGCGTTTTTCGATTAATTTGATTACAATTGCTAAACGAAAAAGAAAACTGACAGATCAAGCAGGTTTTACAGGGTGTGGTTGTGTGAATA